GCACGAAGAACAACCCAGAGCCCAGGCCTACTGATGGTATCATAGGCCTTGACCAGGTCAATAAAGCAGAGATGTAGGTCTTGCTGGAATTCCCCACACCTCTGCTGTAGCAGACGGACAGAAAATATGGCATCTGTGCAGGACCGCCCTTTCCTGAAACCGCATTGGGGCTCTGCAAGCCTCTCCTCAGCGTGCCTGGCAAGGCGATGTTGAATAATCCTTGCCAGGACCTTTCCTGGCACACTGAGGAGTGAGATGCCCCTGTAGTTGTTACAGTCTGTGTGGTCGCCCTTCTTAAAGAGGGGGACCACCAGGGTATCCTTCCAATCCTGAGGAACCCGTCCAGTGGTCCAGACTGTTGTTATGATGTCATATAGGGCAGTCTGTGAACAAACGCCACCCTCCCTCAGCATTTCGCTTGGGAGATCATCTCTGCCCGCTACCTTTCCTGGTCTCAGACTCCGGATCGCCTTCAGTACTTCCTCAACAGATGGCACCTCAGCCAGCCACTCACAGGGGGTGACTTCTTCCAATATTTGCGGCACCGCAGCCTCAGCAGGGTCATCCCCACTTTGTGCCACGATGTTTTCCAGGCTGAGGGATTTTCCCTCCCCCAGGACCTCACAGAAATGCTCAGCAAATCTGCAAACCTGTTCCTGGGGGTCAGAGATTGGATCACCGTTTTTCCCCAAATGATGGTAATAGGTGTGGTGCTGCAGGTTACTTTTTTGATCGAGTTAAATAGAGATTTGTGATCGCGGGCCACTAAGGCAGACTCCATCTCCTCATCAACCCACGACCACCACCCATTCTTGCAGCGCCTCACGGCTCTCCGAACCTCCGAGCGAAGGCTGCGGTAAGCCTCCTCATTCTCTGACGTGGGATTCTGTAGCCGATGACAGTGGGCCTGTCGCTTTTTCTCAACTATCCTGAACACCTCCTCTGTCAGCCAGGGTCTCTGGGGAGGTCTGGACCGCGTACCCAAAGCAGCCAATGCAGCTACATGAGTGACAGTCCTAAACCTCGCCCATTTACCCTCGACATCAGGAGGAGTGGAGGACGATGCCAACCCCAGCTGCAAGCGATGATGAAATTCGCGCTTGCAAATAGGGTAAATAGAGTACACACATTCACACACACAAACACCAATACACATATACAGACCTATACACACACGTATACAGACAGACACCACAGACCAGTAAGACACAACTTACCAATGCACATTCAACGTATCCACACTCACCAACAAAACGAAAACAATGCACACACAGAGCGGCATTATTTTGACAAGTGCCCCACATGCGGTGCCGTAGCCGGGACAATTAAGCACACGCATTAATATAATCGTCCGGGCATATTGACACACAAACACACTCACACCACTCATGGCCACAACGGTCACGGGCCATTCGCCACCAAGCTGCAGCGACGTCTCCGCGTCGCTTGTGCCAGGCTAGGTGCACCTCGTGGAATGTGGAAGGCTCTGCTGCTGGCAGAAGGTGGGGGGGGGGGAAGTCAGAGGTAGGTGCCGTGGGGTTTACCGAGACGATTGGCAGATGCACAAAGACAAAGATCCCCCGTGTAGCCTGTTAACAGACTTTCGGGGCGAGTGCTGTTAGCGAGCAAGCACCCTATGAAGGCTACCGGCACTGTGGCACACGAGTAGGGCTGAACGATTAATCGATTTCAAACCGATTAATCGCAATTAGAAACAATGCGATTGGCAAATCGCAAAGGTTGCGATTTGAGAAGTCCTATTACTTTTGTTCGATTTCAATTAAAACATTCTAAGAAATACATGTTGGAAGCAATTAATATCTTTTAAGTTCTCATCCTTGCATTAGAATATATAAAGCAGTTCATATGTTGATGGTATCACGTGGTAACGCTCCATCATCACGTGTTTACATCTATTGCACAGTGAATATTGAACTGAAGCTTGACTTAACGAAATTTTAATCGCAAATCAAACCGCAATATGTCAGAAAAATCGCAATGAGATATTTTCCCAAAAACGTTCAGCCCTACACACGAGCGGGTGGGTGGGTGGCCAGCAACCACTCCCGGCCGCCTTTGTCTCTCTAGTGGTGATGTTTACACACATGAGACGCACTCATATTCACAGTAAATGTGCACTCAGTTGGTAACATGAACGGTAGTCACATAGCAACAGACTCACCATTACCCACACACACACTAATACACACTCACCATTACCCACCCACTCACACACTAATACACACTCACCATTACCCACCCACTCACACACTAATACACACTCACCATTACCCACCCACACACGCTAATACACACTCACAATTACCCACCCACTCACACACTAATACACACTCACCATTACCCACACAGACACACTAACACACACTCACCATTACCCATACACACACTAATACACACTCACCATTACCCACCCACTCACACACTAATACACACTCACCATTACCCACCCACACACACACTAATACACACTCACCATTACCCACACAGACACACACTAATACACACTCACCATTACCCACACAGACACACTAATACACACTCACCATTACCCACCCACACACACACTAATACACACTCACCATTACCCACACACACACACACTAACACACACTCACCATTACCCACCCACACACACACACTAATACACACCATTACCGACACACACTAATAGACACTCACCATTACACACACACACTAATACACACTCACCATTACCCACCCACACACACTAATATACACTCACCATTACCCACACACACACACTAATACACACATTATACATGAACGGTAGTCACATAGCAACAGACCTATTCGTATTGATCTGCAGTATACCCACATAGACACATTCTACAGACATTCTATATTCGTATGTAGATGCTCATTCTATTGGTAAGTGTGTATACGCATGCACACACACACCATTATTATGGGAAAATAGAGCACGCAAATTCACACACCAATACACATATAGAGACCTATACACACACAACAAAACAGACACAATAAACCAATAGACACATAGATGCAAAGACATATACACAAATCAATGAACGTATTCTCACGACGCACCAATACACTCGCACGTACAAACACCAACCATCCGCTACACATTCTTATACCAACATAAACCCACCTGCACACACAGACCCATACCAATAGACCTTCAAAGACAAAGATCCCCCATGTAGCCGTTTACAGACTGTTGGGGCAAGTGATGTCAGCGAGCAGCACCTATGAAGGCCGTGCCGACACGATGGAGGTGGTGCGACCCAGCCGCCTCTGTCTCAGACCCCAGTGCTGATGTTCACACAAACACACACGCACGCTCCTTCGTTTTAAGGCCGACGACGACCGGTGCAAGATATTCGCCGACGACGCCGACGCTATTGGCACCGTGAGCCACCGGAATCGAACTCGGGTGGCCAGGGTTCGTAGCGCAGCAGCGCTAACCGCTGCGCCACCGCTCCCCCCCCGCCCGGCCCGCCCGCCAATGCATTCACACCACCCACACCTGCACAGACACACGCGGAAAACGATACCCACCAAATTACTCGGCGATGCCCATTGAAGACAAAGCAATGCAGCAGCAGCAGCCTCTGCTGCTTCTCGCTGTGCAACAAACAGCTCCTTCCACGCCAGCCCTGCCCCTGCCCTGCATCGGCAGCGCAAGGCTAAAGGCAAAGATCCCCCGTGTAGCCTGCACAGAACGCCGGGGTCAAGTGCCGTCGGCGAGCACCTCCGAATGCCCGAAACGAGGCCGGGAACGACGAGTGCGCGCCGGTGTGTGCACGCACGCCGCAAACCCGGCCGCCTTTGTCTCCCCGTCAGTGGTGATGTTTGACACACACGGAGCCAGTAGTAGCAGGGGCGGGTTTTTTGTTGTTGTTGAGATATTGGGTCACTTGACGTTTGGCCGTGGAGCGGGAATCGAACCGGTTTCCTTTCTGTAGATCATTTTTTGTGTACGCAGAGTAGTGTTCCACCAGAGTCTCACGCGGCGTTAATACAAAAAAAACAACAACGCATCATTCACTCAAACCCCGGTGCGCGGCGTTTGTAAATGCAAAGACAATACGAATTCATGCGCTGAACCCCTTAGGAGGGACGGCGACTTGGGGGGATGCCTTCATCTAGCAGTGGATTGATCAAGGCTGCTGCTGATGGTGAATACGAGCAGCACACGTGCAGGGCCACATCAGCCGGCATGTGTCTCCGACCTCGTCAGATCTCGGAAGCTCAGCGGAGTCGAGCTTGGATAGCAATGATTTGGATGGATGACCACAGCGGGTGTTACAGGCTGCTCTGGGCGGGGAGGGGGGGGATGTTGCTTCGTGGTTGCCCAGCAGACGGCAGTAGAAGCACACATTCACTGTTGTGCTGTAGTCTAATAGGCGTCCACATTTACCTATGCTCCCCTGGCTTTGGCCAACCCCAGCGTGGTGAAGTATGGTCAACTACTCCGCAATGACGGACGCGGCGTGGGCGAGGGAGGCACTCATCCAGCAGTGGATCGACGACAAAAGCGATATACTGTACAAGTGCATTTACGAATTAAAATATGGGCAATTCAGTTAAATATGTCAATGTTAAATGTGTAATGGTGTGTGTGTGTGTAATATGGAAATGAAGGCCATACAATACAATGGTGACATTTGTTGTCATTTAAATGTATAATGGCGATTTATGTATTTTAAAGGATTATAAATACATCGTGTATATATTTTTGTAAGAAAAAATATATACTAGTTCCTGAATAAATGATTGTATATGAATACAGCTACAATCAATGCTTCCACTTGCGTGTGATGTCATGGGTGCACTGCACAGCACGTAAGTGGGGTTTTCCCCTATATTCACGAACACATTTTTACCAAGGTATAGATCTCATGACAGTCATACCAACATTATTCCATGACCAATATTATGAATAAGTAGTATTTGTTGTGTTATTGTAAATGGGTATATATATGCGCACTGACCGGCTGACTTTAATTCTTGGCTTGAACCATCGCCGTCCGGTGATTTAAATTCGACCATAAATACCAAATCAGCACCCCGCACCGCCACTCCCCCCTCAAATACTACACCTTAACAAAAACGCACCACGTGTAAAAAATAAAATAAAAATGATGCTGTTTGACTATGACTTGGTATAAAATACTAGAAGGGAAACGTTAAGAAGATATACTGTGACCGACACGCCGCCGCCACCAAACACCGTACGCGCACTGAAATTGTTCAAGATGCCAGCCGGCTGATGAGATATCTTAAAGGAAATAAGATGCCAATGTTAAGAGATAGACTGCCTGAGATGTCGGTGAGCGATGTGAGAGGGAATACAGCAAAGGAGGAGGTAATATGCGCGAGAGAAATGGACGAATACAGTATAGAGTGTATACTGTGCCGATTACGCATGATATTGGACGATAGTATCTAGCACACGTGCCCGCAATATCGCGCACGCGCGCGCTGCTCAAATAGAACAGCTGATTTGGGATCATCATCATCGACGTCGTCACCATCGCCATCATCGTCGTCGTCACTAAGACCATCCTCTTCAACATCTCCATCACCACCGTTAGCCGTCAATATCATTAAGACTATCATCGTCTGCATCTTCATCACCACCACCACCACCACGTGCACCATCATCATTGTCATCATCGTCACCACGACCATCATCCAACAACATCACCAAGGTCATCATCTTCGCTACCACGTGCACCAGGCCATTATCATTATTACCATCATACACCAACATCCTCGACACCATCATCTTCAAACACCACTACGACCACATCACCGTTACCACCACCGTTATCATCGTTAACATCAAAAGACCATCATCTTCAACATTTCATCACCAAAACCGGCACCAACACATCATTACCGTGTCTGAATTAAAATGATAATTTCACTTAAATCATTAATATCAACATTCATGCAGATAAATAATTCATGAATGACTTACTATCATCACGTTTCGTCATCACATCTGACAATCATCACCACACCATTATCAAACAACATTCCACATCACGTCTGACATTCATCACTACCATCATCGTGATCAATCAATACCAACATCATGCACATCATCACATCACACATTCATAAACAGCATCATGATGTTGCAATGGTATGTGTGTTGCATCGCACGTCACCACCACCACCATCAATACCAACATCGCGTTCACAATCACCACATCGCACACTTATCACCATTGTGACCATGTATTGTTGCACGACAATAACTACACCGCCACCAATAGCAACATCACGTTACTAACTTATCTTCATTACCACCACCATAATGTTTATGATGTTGTATTTGGTAAGCGATCTGTCGCATCAAACATCACCACCACCATCACCACCAACATCACATCGCACTGCCACCACCAACATCGTTACGTTGTAATGCTACGTGTGCTGTGTTGCATCGCAATGACCTTACCTGGGGGTGGGCGCTACTGTGGTGACGGGTGAAGGAGGGGTAGAGAGGAAGGAGAAGGAGGAGGAGGAAATGATGACGAGAAAGAGGCAGGAGCCTTTTCCGAAGGTTTTGACGTAAAATGCCCTCGAATAGAAATCCTTGCTTCTATTTGCCCCGAGGGCGTCGAGCAACCAAATCCGAGTTGTCTTCCACTACATTTCCCATGCCCGAGACTCGCAGTGCATAGAGTGCCGTGTTACACACACACACACACGCGCGCACACGCACGCGCGTCTGTGTGCACTGTGCACATACATATGTAGAGGAGTAGTGGAGGACGTCATGTCACTCGGGGGGGGGGGTGAAAAGGGATGACGTCAGAAGTTACGGGGGATATATAAGGGGGAACCCGTGACGTAGAGGGGGTCGTAGCGAAGGGCCAGGAACGGAGAGAGTTTGGGGGAGTCGGGATCCAGGGTAGGGGGGATCAGCGCCAGGCGTGAGTGACTACTTCACTCGGCCGACCGAGTTGGGTGATCCCTCGGTCGGTGCTGGGGGGAGGGGAGATCACGCATAGCCTGGGTGGAGCTAGGGACCTCCCAGTAACCCTTTCCCCTGGGGAGATATTAGGGTTGTCACCTGTTGGGCGTAAGCCTTTAATAAGTTACCGGCAGTAGCCCTTAATAAACCTTGGCATCAGCCCCTACTAAAGAACCGTGTCGTCAGTTGCACCTCAGCACGTATGCACAGAGTGATACGTGTGTGCAGTGTATGTGTGTCTGCATATATTCACAACGGTAAAAGTGCAGCCCTGCAATTTCCTGCTCACGCCACTGCTGCCGGAACGGCCTCGACTCGCGAGAGCTTTCCTCTCGTGTCTTTAGGGTACTTGGCCTACTCTTCCATACTGGCCAGACGCCTCCCGTGAAAGGTGTAAGTGCCCACACTTTACCCCATCCCCCCCGCCCACGTGTTCACCAGTCTTATTAGCAGGTTGAGTGTGTGTGGTGGGTGAAAGTGTGGGGACTCCCACGTCTTACAAAAACGTCTGCCCCAGCGTGGCACAATTGGCCAAATTCCCTCCGGGGAAGCTCTCTGAAGCGGAGGCCGCTCCACCAGCAGTGTGGTGAGCAACTAATTTCAGGGCCTGCACCTTTATATTTACAGTTTATTATTGCTAGCCATGACCTACCTATTTTAATTTCTATCATCAAAACTCATCAGCCTGGGTCAATCGACTGCTTGATGAAGACCTCTCCCCAATTCCGCCGCCTTCTCCCGCGATGCTTCGGTTCACCTGTAGCTCCTGGACACGAGTTAATTGCATTGCTCCATCTCCCGCGTGCGCGCGAAACCTCTTCGACACGTTCCATTTACTGGATGCCACCTCGTAATAATTCCTCACCATCGTCCATCATCAGCATTCCCTTCCCAAGAGAAATGTCCTGCCCAAGCCTACTTTGCCTTTCCCCAAAAAGTTTGAATTCTGTCTTTAAACGGCATGTTATCTGTTATCTAATCCATGTGCTCAAGCTTTTTCCTGTCTCTCAATGCAATTTCCAGCGTGTAACTCGATGCTTCTTTGGGCACTCTTCATTCAATTTATTCTTGTGCGGTTCTTTAAGATTTATCACGTATTATTATAATAATTATGAAATAGAGACCCCCCCCCCCCCCCCCCCCCCCCCCCCCCCCACCGTATAGCCATTACAGACTTTTGGGGCAAGTGCTGTTCACGAACACCGATGAAGGCCGGCACGGCACGCGAGGGGGTGGGTTGTCAGCACCACGCCCGGCCGCCTTTGTCTCCCTAGTTTACGCGTCACACCAGATGCAGTACTTATCGAAGGCTGAGTCTACCTAGGGGAGGCCCAGGGCCGGTTTAGGCATTTGCCACTGGTGCTTGCCTTGAGCGGGAACCGAACTTGGCTCGCCGGAATCGAATCGCAGCGCGTTCACCGCTGCACAACCGCTCCCCACCTATATTATTACAGCACTGTATTATTAGACGTATTATTTGGTGACGTTCCGTTGGCTTTAAGTGTGTTATTAGAGTATCATTACACCTGCCTTATTGCAGTGTTATCGACCTGAAATGTGGTATTGATCCGAGATGTGTCCACACAGCCCCAGCCTTTGTCTCAATTCGTCGCTGAATGACCCCATCACGCGGTCAGTGGTGGGGCCTGGGCCAATGAGGCGCCCTAAGCAGACTTTATTTTTTTATTTTTTATAAAACTCGTAGTAAAATAACAGACATGAGATGGATATGCAGTAAGATGAGAGAATTTGCGAAACAAAAGAGATCAATTGGCTTCGTATGGTATCCAGCTTTGGTTGTTAAGAGTTACATTTCGTGCTTATTAGATGCACCCGTATTCTTCATGAATATAGGGCCCCTTGAGCTACTTGGAAGAGGGCCCCCAAGCAGTTGCTTAGCCTGCTTTTGCCTTGCACTGCCACCGCACAGAGTCAACGTTGCACGAGGGCGATCGAATCGAGGGCTGAAAAGCTGGGCGACGAAACGTCGAGTTGAAGGAAGGGCAAATTGACCTTTGGGGCTATCCATAAATGACGTCACGCACCTGGGGGTGGGGGGGGGGGGTCAGACATTTGTGACGATGTGTGACGCGAGGGGGGGGGGGGTGTGAGAAATGTGACGTCACATCAAAATGCGCAACTTTAAACAAATATAGACAACACGTTCTACTTAATAAATTAGACTTTTTAATAAATATTTTCTCCTTCAACATCAGAGTGCAGCGCCACATTAAATACGCACTACAATGACAATAGTTTAAAGCGATTTGAAGCATGTTTTTTTAGGGGGGGGGGCAGAGCTTTGTGACGTCATATTTTAGGGGGGGTCTGACTTTTTGTGACGCCGTGTGACGAGGGGGGGGGGGGTCAAAAATCGTTCAAAATCGCGTGACGTCATTTATGGACGGCCCCTTTGAAGAAGTTGAGCGCTGGCAAAAAAATATATTATTTACATTCAGAGGAGGAGGGCGTTTTGTGTGAAACTCTGGCAGTGGTGTGGCTGGCCGGAAGGTTTATACCATGCCGCATAAGTCTCGCACAGCTTAAATTATGTAATATTTAGGATTAACGTCTTACACATTAATATACACTTGTTAAACGTTCTATGGTATCTACTCTCCCACACGTACACAACTGCCGCGTCTTATGGGCTTGCCTTGATAAGCAGCTTGGAACCTTGCGACACCATCCCCCACTGTCATCTAAACTGACAAGTGGCACATTTACACGGTGCAGTCAAAAAATAACACGTTTACAATGTGTACCCAAATACAGCCATGGCCGGAAGAAAAAAAAAACCTGTAAACACACATGCAAATAAACGTACCACTACCAAAAACGGACCCTGCCATGGTGCAACGATCACCAAACAGGGCTTGTGTACGAGTGCGTTTTGTTGCTGAAAGTGGCACCGAATTTCCAAGGGCATATTCAATATTTCTCCTGCACAGTATCTATTCCGCGTCCTGTGCCCTCCCCTGAAAGACGAAGAAGCATTGCGCTAACCACTGCTCCCTTATTTTCGTTCTGGGTACAGCATGTAAATATACTGTGGGGTGGGGGGGGCACCCTTATGTGAGGTGTTGGGTAAACAGGAAGGATAAGTGAAAGGGGGCAGTGGTGGTACCAGAGGCAAGGGCAGGACCGAGTGAGTGGTTCGTGGGGGGAGTGGCGGTGGCGGGGTAGGGTGGTGGTGGGGAGGCAGTGGTCATGATCCACGTGGACAGAGAGGGAAAGTAAGGGGCAAGGCAGAAGAGCAGGTGACAGCGACCCAGGGCAGCACCAGTCATATGGGGCAGCTAAGAATTCAAACTTCACAGTAAGTCTACAACCTACGATGTGACATTAACGTTGTATGTATATACTATACGTAGCGAGTGTTGTGAACCTCTAATTAATATACGTAACATATTGCCGTGTAACATTTAATGACGAAGTTGTAGACATTAACACACACAATGTAGGAAAGTTAAATACATAACTGCGGATCAACCCGTCATCAAACATGATTCTAGAAAATAATTAATTGGTAAAAACATATTCCCGTACAATATACTGCGCAATTCATTAGTTAGCAAATGTAACCCATGTTTAGAGAAGAGCAAGTGGGTTGGTGTAATATAGAATTAAGTTAACATCATAATCATTGAACAAATACAGAAATTGTGGACTTTCTTGTACATTTATGTGCATATATAGTACGCATAGAGATTGTAAACTAAATCAAACACGCTGTGTCTATATTTATTACATAGTGTAAATTACAGTCACACCCATACACACATAAAAAGAGTCTACGTGCATACAACAAGGAGCCAGAAGCTGCCTTTATCCATATTTCAGTTTTTCACATCACATTCCACGGGAGGCAAATGACTTGCTCCGCTGATGTCGGAGATCGTATATGTTGAAGTGTTTAGCGGGTCTTAAACCTCGATCCTTCCATGACATTAAACCTTCGAGTGTAACCAATTACCCTCCAAGCCGTAACTTTAAAAAATTGTTGGCTTTGGGGATTTTTCGAGCTACAAGCATATAGACTTGGCCATATTTACATCAAATTTCTACCCATTCTAGACGAGCAGAAAATACATCAGTCACGCTCATCTGCTGTGCATTGGACATCCCGAAGTCAGGTCCACACCTAACCCCTTGTGCAGATTTCATTGGCCGCTGCCACGACCATGCTGAGCCTGCTGCTGAGCCTGCTGCTGAGCCTGCTGCTCGCAGGCTGCCCTCTCCCCTCCGATGCTGCCACATGCCCCCCGCAATGCACCTGCCCAATCCGGGGCTCCGTGCACTGCAATGGCCTGGGCCTCAGCCTGCTGCCCACGGGGCTGCCCTCCTTCACCACGGACCTGCAGCTGATGGCCAACCGTATCTCCTCGCTGCCCTCCGGCGCCCTCGCGCAGCTGCCGCAGCTGACCTCGCTGGCGCTCTCGAAGAACGCGATGGAGTCCCTGCCGCCCGATGTCTTCCACCGGTGCCCGCGTCTCGCCCGCTTGTCCCTCTCGAACAACCGGCTTGCCCGGCTGCCGCCGGAGCTCCTGGAGCGAACGCCCGAGCTGTTGGAGCTCTTCCTCTACGGGAACGCTCTGAGAGGTGTCCCGCGAGGCATCTTCGACGAGCAGAGGCGGCTGCAGCAGCTGTGGATCAACGACAACCGCATCGAGGACCTGCAAGAGGGCGTCTTCTCGCGCCTCGCTCAGCTCCGCAACCTCAGCCTGGAGAGAAACCAGCTGAGCGACCTCCCGGGGGGCATATTCGTCGGCCTCGGTAACCTGACCGGCCTCTGGCTGTCTCGGAACCGTCTGACCTCCCTACCGGAGACGGTGTTCCACCCGCTGAGGTCCCTGCAGGAGCTCATGCTGTTCGGGAACTCGCTGCGGTCCCTGCCGCCGGACCTCTTCGACGGTCTGGAGTCGCTCACGAAGCTGGGTCTGTCGCGGAATGCACTCACGACTCTGCCCGCGGGCGTCTTCCGCAGCCTGCGGGAGCTCAACGACCTGTCGCTCTTCTCCAACCAAATCTCCGTGCTCCCCGCTGGCGTCTTCGACCCGCTCGTCAAGGTGCGGGAGCTTTGGCTGTACAGCAACAACCTCACTTCGTTGCCGGGCGGCCTCTTCTCCCGCATGCAGAGCCTCGAGCTGCTCATCCTGAGCAAGAACCACCTACGTGACCTGCACCCGGACACCTTCCAGAACCTGACCAGCCTGACGGAGCTCTCGCTGCACACCAACCTGCTGCGGACGCTGCCACCCGGCCTCTTCCGTGACCTCTCCTCGCTGCAGTCGCTGTCGCTGCACTCGAACCGGTTGTCATTCCTCGCCGGCAGCCCCTTCCGGGGCCTGTCTGCCCTGCTCAACCTGCAGCTGCACTCCAATAACATCTCGTCGCTCGACGAGCCGCTGGCTTTCGAGGACCTGCGTGCCGTTGCCAACCTCACGCTGCACGACAATCCGTGGCGATGTGACTGTGCCGCCCGGCCGCTCGGCGCGTGGCTAGCCGGTCGCTCCATCTCCCTGGGCAACACGGAGCCGCGGTGCGACAGCCCCTTGTTACTGGAAACGGTGGAGCTGGTGAACATGGACGCGTGGCTCGACCCCCTGTGCTCCACCTCGCCCGCTCCTTCCACGATAACGACCACGGCAAGAAGCACGCGCGAGGCTTTCACGGTGGAAGGAGTCACCTCGGGCCGTCGGCCCGGTGGTACTTCGCCGGACACTCCGTCTCCTCCAGTCGTCAACTCCTCTGCAGGGCCGACAACAGAGGGGCATTTTCCGACCTCGACCACGAAGCATTCAACGCGCTCCGCCACACCGCCTGCTCCGTGCGGGGCGCGATGCGAGTCGTGCGCCACGGAGGCCGTGTCGGATCTGGTGCCCGGCGTTGACCGTGGCGGCGTGGGCTGGCACCGGGCCGGGTTCGTCGTGCTCGTGAGCATAGTGGTCGTGCTGCTCCTGCTGCTCTCGTTCCTGCTGCTCGTGCGGTGCTGTCAGCCGAAGGCGCCCAATGTGAGGCTAATCAGATATCACACCAGGCCCATGTTTTAATTGGCGATTGGAAGCATCGTTTGACCGGGCTGCGTCTGATCGAGATGGACACGGGACTTCTCCGCGCCGGAGGCATGGACTGCTGCGAGTGACCGTAGAGGTTTAAGGGCTCATACTCTTTGGTTCTATTCGGTAAAGTCACGTAGGTAAAAAAATAAAACAACAAAAAATCACGACGTTTCGACCACAACACAAGTGGCCTTCATCAGGTGAAGGGACCAACCTGTCCAGAGGACAGCGTTGGAGTGAAAAAAAAGTCAAGCGCAGGTCGCCTCCTTTAAGCTGTGAGTGGGTAAACAGAAAAGACGCCTTGACAAAGGAATTAGCATAAAATGCAAAGCTGTGCAAGCTCGCAAATAGCATAAAAAATACATTAGCACCACCGTGAGAGTTTGGGATGCCACTAATTGAATTAACATACTGTACCATTAAAAATTCCTTTAACGTTTGGTTAGATTTAGAACATCTTTCCAATGGTTGCTTAATTTGAAGCCATCTCGGTTGAAATTGTGTCTGTGTTTGTAGATCTGAATTGCCTCGTGAACAAATCTCTGATAAAAACCCATGGGTTTGCAAAGAACCTTGGTATCGGAGAAAATTATATCGTGATCACCCACAGCGTTGTAACAATGATCAGCTACGGCAGAATAATTCGTTTTGCAGTGTTTCAAATCTGATTTGTGCTCGCGAATTCAGTCAGAGACATGTCGCTTTGTCTCCCCGATATAGCAATCACCGCAGGTACAACTCAATTTGTAAACCCCGGGGTACTGTAAGTCAGGAATGACATCCTTCACGGATGGGATCAGATCACGAATTTTGTGTACTGTATTGAACCGGACCTGGATCTTGTGTTTGTTTAGAATTTTGGAAATCTTTTTAGTAACGCCTGCTATATATGGTAGTGTGATGGTTTTGACCGGAGTATCAAGTGGTTGTTTCTGTATGGAGGGAGAAACAGCTTGGCATCCCAAACTCTCACGGTGGTGCTAATGTATTTTTGATGCTATTTGCGAGCTTGCACAGCTTTACATTTTATGCAAATTCCTTTTTCAAGGCGTCTTTTCTGTTTACCCACTCACAGCTTAAAGGAGGAGACCTGCGCTTGACTTTTTTCACTCCAACGCTGTCCTCTGGACAGGTTGGTCCCTTCACCTGATGAAGGCCACTTGTGTTGTGGTCGAAACGTCGTGATTTTTTGTTGTTTTATTTTTTTACCTACGTGACTTTACCGAATAGAACCAAAGAGTATGGATCCTTGCAGTCACGAAAGCTTTAAATCTAGAAGGTTTAAGGGCTCTCACAGCCGTTTACACCGATCCAGCGCTGTAGTCGTAGTAGTCGTCGAGGTTTGATTAAATGTCTCACAGGCGTTGCGTTAAACAAAGCCAAATATCCCACGTGTAGCATTTAACAAGCCGTTGGGGCAAGCGCTGTTAGCGAGCATGGTCCGCGAGGTAGTGGTGGTGGTGGTAGTGGTCAGCACCTTCCACGGCCGGCGTTGTCTCACCAGTGGTGATGTTTACCCACCACACCAGGTACTGATTTAGAGCTGAGTGGATGACCCAAGGGAAGCACACGACCGGTTCTGATACAGGTCACCACTGATGTTAGCCGTAATTCGGAATCAAAATTTAGGTCTCTGGGTTTGTAGTGTAGTGACGCTAACCACTTTGCCACCACCACCAGAGACAAAAATCAAACTCTGGTGGTTTTGAAGTTTAATTTCGAAATATTCCGAACGATTAGCAGACTTGAACAATGCCCAAAACTATTCAAAACTATATTAAGTCTTAGCATACAAGCATCGCCCAGTTGAGAGAAAAAAAAAACTTCATTTAATACCTGTTAATCACTATGAACATAGTAAGAATTGTAAAATATTGATAAGTAATGTATCCAGAAATGCCTCACTTAAGGGAGGTCTTGCGTGAGATATTTGGCCAATTGCTTTTTGTGTATTCAACAACAGCAAGGCATTGTGACGAAATCAAGATATCCATTATACGCTCAGTATGTGTGCAACGTCCAGATTAGCGTTGTCAAGTCAAATGACTTTCAAGATCTTGTCCGATAGGTTTAGAAGAAAAAAACCCCGATTCTGTTCAAGTTGCTCGGGAATCGAGGCATTACAACACTTGCTTTGATCACGATTACAACACTTGCTTTGATCAGAATCTATACCGCAGTGTTTAGTCAACACCCCGCGACCATGATTCTCCACTGCTGGATGAAAGCCTCCCCAAGTTGTCGACAATCTCTTACCAGCAATAGATTTTACATTTTAGTTGATGATACATGCAACAGCCACCGGTTGTTGTGGGGTTTAAATGTCCCTTTTTGCAGTGGAGATATATGAATTTTAGGAGCGTTGATTCTTACACTTGCACATTTTACGCGTGCGTCGTGATCGTTCGGAATCGAGATCGATACATCATTGATACCAATATAAAGTCTGTGTCGTTTATAGTGTGAAGTTACATTTAAAACAATATTTATACAGAACGATGAGTTTCATTGTTAATCAACTTAATTATGTTTGCAGTGTTGTAATACATTTTTAAAAATCATAAATGAATCAGTTTCAATCCACTGCTCGATAGGCCTCTTTCATGATGACAACTCCCACACTCATGACCTTTTGTATTATCACGTGTTATTATAGGTTAGATAGCTCAGAGCCTGTGGTGGCAATTCTATATTCCTATGGCACGGCCCAGTGTTCCTTGCAAGGCCGTAACTATAATATATATTGGGGGGGGACACAATACTCAAATATGCTCAAAATGTCCCCCCCAATATATTGCTATAAAATAGACTTATGTTTATATGATTGTGGTTATGGTTGAACTTCATTAATCCCTAATCTCTGCCATTGCATACAATGAAACAAGAAAAGGTAAAGAATAAATAAATAAACAGCAATGTAATACAATACACGATTAGACATTATTGTAAAAAATAAATAAAAAGTTAATCCTATGTGTTAGTGAATTTTGTTTATATTTTAGGCAGGAAATTCGTTTTCAAATTTCGATTTTTTTTCTGGGGGGGGGGGGGGTGGAACCCCCATACCCCCCTGGAAGATTTGGTCCCCCCTAATATTGACTCCATGGCTACGGTCTTGGTTCCTTGTCAATTCACTGCTGGATGAGAGTCTTCCCATTCCGCGCGGGTCGTCAAGAGTTACTTCACCACGTGGGTCAGTGGCGGTTGGTTAAGACCGGGAGCACTGAGGCAGGGTGCACAGAATTATAGTAACGATAATGCATTTTTCTTCAGCAGAGAGTGTACACTAAAAAGGGTTTCATAATCGGCATCACCCTATCGCTTAAATCGCTGTGGCTGGAAAAAGCATAAAGTGGTGAGCCAGCGCACGAAGGATTGCAGAATGGCCATGGAGGTGGCCCAGGACAAGAATGAGTGGAGGACGGGGACGTGGGAAGGGGGTTTTCTATACCAGTGGGGAAGATGCCAAGACTTAAGGAACATGGAGTTATAGTAATGGTGTATCAAATTATGTGCAATGTCACCAATTACACAAACATATATTATAATTCGCCGAGACACGCACGCCAGAAGGTGGCAGTGTCACTGCATAGGAGCGGTGATTAAATTAGAAATTGACTGGAATTGGGGCTTTGTACGTTGACAAATCTCAGCTGGGGGTCAAGATGTACACTTTTTTTTGCTGCGAGCGGCGCAGCACGAGCGTGGCCGCATGCCACCATCATTTAGTATACAGCCCTTTGTCAATCCACTGCTGGATGAAGGCCTCCCTGGGATACGTTTTTTGGTCATTGGGGTGCGACCATAGTTTGTTAAAGACGTGACGATGACGGTGCTAACGGAAATCGTGAGTTTGAGACTTCGGAAAAGGCTGTAAAATGCACTAAATCAAGCGGGTGTCTTTATTTTTCCCTTTCAAAAATGCCAAACGTGGGGGAGGACCACCCTACCTACCTACCTCACTCGGTGACCTTTCCGGGGATAAAAAAAAAAATTGGCCCGCGCACCTCAGCTATGAATCCTACTAAAGATTACTGTGATAAAAGTATATTAGCCTTACTCATCGTTGATGTTAGCCAAGGCCGGGCAGCTCATATCACAGTGCACTGACCACTGCACCATCACTCAACCCCCATGGCACCTTCACTAGGTCCTTTATATTTCAGCGCGTGGGTGACGGTGAGGTTAGTGAGGGGGCGGAGGAGTTCACGAACCTGGGTAATTTTAGGCTACGCTCTGTCCTCGCTGCAGAAATCTGTGCCGTGGCTGCGTAATGCTGCGTGGAAGCTGCCTGGCCTGCTGATCCACGCAAAGCTTCGGGTCTTCTGGGCCAGAAACATTAATGCAGCCATCTCTCTGTGCTCGACAGATATGGGACCGCCTTGCCAAAAAATAATATCTGCAACAGCTTTATATGGTTAAGTTGGTCTGCTTATGTTTGACCCATCTTGGCTTTGTCTGGGTTGAACCTCATTATAATAATTAATCATTTACAGCCCTATCTCAATCCGCTGATGGATAAAGGCCCTCCCCACATCATGTCGATCACGAGGTTTGGGCCAAACTTCACCACGCAGGCGAGTGCAGGTTGATAAAGATGGGCTGGTGGGGTGGGGTGATGCCTGGGACCATTTCGAATATCACTCGCCACTGATGTTAGCCGTAGCCGGGATTCAAACTCAAACCTTTGGGGTTTTTTTTGCAGTTTGCTAACCGCAGTAGCAACTCATTAGCAGGACACAAATGTTTGCAAGACCTGGATTGCTATCCAGACAGAGGATCCTTTGCAATATCGACCTTCCATTCAGTCAATTGTATGTGGAATAACTTAACAGCTATTGATGTAAACTCTACCTGAACAGCTACGCCCAACACCTTCACAATACAGGGCATCTTTGAACAAATTGTGTGCAAGCACACGAACGTATTAAAAAAACACATCTTTACACAGACACACGTGTATAGAGCAATCGTGAAATTACCCATGCAGAAGGACAAGGTTATTTGCATATCATCTGTACACAATACGCAGATCTAATTATAGATACCCCACTAAAATAAGCAATAAATTATAGATAAAGCAAGGGTTTTATTTTCAAAGCTTCTACGTGTCTCTCACCATTTTCGATGCACTTATTAAATGTTATTTAGCGCTCTCCCTCTGATAGAC